CCTGTAACATAGCAACTCCTCTCTCTCTTTGTGTTTCTTTAGTAATAGCTATATCTATATCATTTCAAACACAGGTTCGAATACATGAGTCACTCATACGTGGATTTTTTTCAATAAATACTATAAATGTGTTTTCTCTCCCTATGATTTCATGAACAACATTTTCTTTCTCAAGCTTATTTCAGTGTAAAATTCAGTATATAATACATATAACATAAAAATGTGTATTAATTGACTATTTATGTTACAGTAAGGCTTCCAGTCAATGGTAGACTATCAGTAGTTAAGTTGGGGGAGTGAAACGCTATACTTAGGTTTTTGAGTGCACAGGAGGTGGGTGCCCCTAACCCTCAGGCCCCTGCCCTTCCTTCATCCCCTGGTGTTCAAGGGTCAACTCTTAGTGCCAGAAGACATGGATGAGATGTTCATAGCAGCATGGTTTGAAGTAGAAATTTCAAAATAGAAATAAATAAATAAATAAATGCAAGTCCAGAAGCATACAGATTAATACCTTTACCATTTATGATTCTAAAAATGCAGGAGTATGTAGTCTAGCTATAAAGAAATAGAAGGGAATGATAACACATAATTTAAGATTCTGGCAACTTCTGGAGATAGAGGATATTATAGGGGAATGTATAATGGGGCTTCAATTGTATTAGTGACTGCTATGTTTTATTATGGACAGTAGATACAGAGGTAGGTGTCTGTATTACTATTCTTTGTATTTTGATTGTTATAAATTTTTTGATGAATGTCAGGAAATATCTCCAACAATAACAAATGTAACCATTCTTCTACTTCCCCAACTCGTGCCACTCTGTCAAAATGGGCTGCTTGAATCACTCTAGAGGGGTAGTTTCAGCAGGTCATTGTAATAGTGATCACAAAGGCTCTGGGATTCATTTCAGTGCAGATTTGGTCTCAGACTCCATTTTCTGCTGATCAGGACAAAGCAAGAGATATACTGAAGTATAGCCATCCAGAAGGACGCCGGATTGAAAGGTTCTATCAAGTTGGCTGAAATGAGAACTTGGGAAACCTTCATTGTAATGAAACATTTTGCAGAGTAGATAGAATTCTCAGACCAGAAAAGTGACGCCTAATACTTGGGTGCACCAATTAACTCAAGTGCTTCAAGTCTGTTGGGCGTCATGTATTCCCAAACGAAATTCTCCAGTAATTACCATAAATCACGTATTTATGGAACTTTGTAACCTCAACCAGTAATTTATCAGTTAGTCACCCAGTATTGATTAAGTTCTTATAAATTATGCTGTTGGGTACTAACCACTCAGGAAATACATTTCAGAAATTGGCCTGGTCCCTGCCCTATTGAAATATATTTAATTACAATAGGTCGTGCTCAGTGCCATAGCAGAGCTTAGTTGGGACTACAATATCTTCAGAGAAAGAATTATAGTCACAGGATTAAAATGCAGAAATCCGTAGGTAATTAAAGGGAGGACATACTTTCAGAAAAAGGTGTTGTCAAAAGAAAGGACATGTGTCAAATGTCAATTGTTCGTATTGATGAGAATTAGGAAAATGATTGTGGAGAATAGACAGCAGGAAGTCATCTACTAGATATATAACCAAATATTAATTTGTTATAATATACAATATATGTAGACCAATTTCATAAAGTTCAAATAAAACATAAAAGTTTGGATGTTCATGTCATATTTGTCAAAATATTTATGCCCTGTATGTCATAACAAGAATGTTCAACAAACTTCCTTTACCTGTATTAAGCTCTTAATTAAATAATTGTTTGTTTGAAATTAGGTTAGGTTGTTTATAAGAACTTGAAAAAAATAATCTATAATGTAAAAACATATATTACAAATTGAAAGAAGAATATATATTAAATGTTCTGGAACAATTGGTTAAATGTTTGGGGAAAAAAAGAAATCGAAATTGATTGCCAATGTACTAAAAAGTTAATTGTTGAAAATGAAAACATAAAAAGCAGAGATAATTAGCTTACCCTCCTAAGTTTTAAAAACTTCTGTAAGTAAAAATAAATTTCTTTATAAAACAGGAAAAAAACTACAGAAAAAATAACTGCAACACATGGGGGCGAGGGGGAAAGTAAGTAGTATCTTGTAACATAAATATTTACTAGAAAAAAGAACACTAAACCACAAAGTCAAACTGCCATAAAACATAAATATGAGCGTGAATAAACATAAACATGAACATGAATAAACATATAAATATATACCTATGAGTATTCTGTAAAGTGAATGTTGAATAATATGTAAATGGCTATTATATTGTTTGATTTCAGAGCATAAAACAAAGGACATGACTACACACACACACACATAACTTTATTCTTGACCCAGTTAGCAAAGACTAAAAACATAGTCAAAGCGAGGAGAACGCAGTAAGCTGGGCAGCCTTGTTACATTGTTAGAGACAGTGCCATCCACTGTATATTAATGTCATATCTATAAGTGAAATGCCGGAATTGTTACTATTTTGTATATATGTGCACTTATATGCATATACATGGTGTATATGTTTATAGTAAAGTGTGTCATTAATATTTGTCTATTTACATATTATTGTATATGTACACACATTATATAATAAAAATTAATTTAGCTAGAGTGTTTTAACTTCTAATATTTTAGTCTATCAACTTTTTTTCTTACTCTACTGAGCTTCTGGATCACTTTCTCAGAATTCTACATTTCCCTATTTGGGAGTCCATAAGCAAGTCAACTAGCAATGGGAGAGAAGCAGAAATTGATCTTTTCTTTTGATTTTTAGCTGATTTTTGGCACCAAGAAGAAGCACAAATGATCCCAATAGCCATGCTCTCTGGACAACGTATTTAATTTCTCTGCACTGTTATCAACTGCTTTGAAAAGTTGACATTTCTGGGATTTAAAATTGGCACCATAATTTTGACATATAGATAAGCTTTCCATTTCAGAGTATTTACAACAGAACCCAGAAACATACTCTCTTCAGGTCTTCTAAGGATTCTGAACAATTACATCGTGTGTGTGTGTGTGTGTGTGTGTGTGTGTGTGTGTGTGTGTGTGTGTGTTCGCGCGTGCATCTGTGTATTTCCCTTGGGAATATACAAGGAGTGGAATTACTAGATCACAGTACTATACGAATGTCTTCCAATTTACTAGATAATGTCAAGTGTTTTCTAAATGGTCTCACCAATTGAAACTGTTGCCAACAGTATATTTATTTGGGACTTCATTAATGACTTAATAAAGTTTTAGAATATTTCCAGTAAAAGTATTACATGTCTATGGTTAGGTTTATTTCTAGATACTTGAAAATTTCCAGTAATATTTCTTTAAGTTTTAGTTTTCTGAATATTATTGTTGGTATACAAAAACACAATTGATTTCTTAAATTATTTTTGTACTGATTTTGTATCTACTAATCTTGCTAAACTCTGACTCATTCTAATAGTTTGCTTGCCTTCTTATTTCTATGTTTATACTCATATGCAAATAGGAACAGTTTAACTTCTTCATATAATTAATTTGCTATTTTACTGCCCTGATTAGGAATTTCTGTACAATATTGCAGAGCAGGCGTCATAGTGGACATTCTTATCTTGTCACCTTTCCTTTTTACATCTCAACCCTTCCCACTGAGATTTCTTCCCTTCTGCTCTTTTGCATGTCTTTTAGTGAGTGTCTGTTGCTGATAACTTTAAATAATCTGATTTAAACTTTTTCACTGGTAGATATTTTTGTTGAGCATAGACTTCTAGCTCACCAGCAATTGTTTTTTCAGTGCATTGAAGGCCGTTGTCACTGTCTTCTGAGTTACCCTTTGCTTTAGAGAGGGCGTGTCTTTCTAATAAAATGTAGTAGCCTATATTGAAAAAAAAAGTTAGGGAACCAGCTTTCTAATGCTAACTTTGTCAGGTATTTGCTACTCTAAGATTTAGACGACCACTGAGAAGTTTAGAATTATAATTTGAAGATCTAAAGTTATTCAACCATTATATAAGAGTGGGCTCAGATACCATCAGATGACACTGGATTAATGAGACAGGATTTATTTTGGCCACAAGGGAATGAAAGAAAGAGAAGGGAAGGAAGGAAGAAGGAAAGAAGGAAGGAAGGAAGGAATTAGCAACTAACAGTGACTTAAAAGATATTTACTGTTTGCTTAATTAGTACAGAGATTTGGAATTTATTTACATAACAGTTCATGAATATACCTGTTCCATACAAGAAGGCACGTCTGCTCTTAAGTTAGGGTATGTGTAAGTCTATTGATATTTTGGAAGTTTCTGTCACTAAGCATCCCCCAACCAAAGTTGTTGGCCTACAGGAAATGCGTGACTAAAAAGAACTTTAAAGTCATTTTTTTTCTCTAGTCTGTACTGCATACCATTTTGCCAGAGGGTCAGAGAGCATCACCTCTCAGACTAATTGGAAACACCACCTCAATTTCGCTGTATCACGTACACTTCTATCTGTGAGAAATGAGAAAGAACCAAAGACATTCTTTTCCAGTTCCTGCTCCTCTAAAAGATTAGGAGTCATCAGCAACAGTGACAAGTATTACCTAATCTAAATATAATGTGCTAACAAGCAGGCACGGTTTACTGTGGATAATCCTTGATTTATATAATTAAGAGCTACCGAAGTGTACTTATCTCTTATTTTTATTTTTAACTGTAGCTACAGCCATTGTAATGTGTTTTTCCTGGTCCATCTCAATGTAGCCACTGACTTATAGATAGTGCATAGAATTTAGTCACCATTCATCTAAATTTACCATGATCCAGTAATATCAATATTGTCTTTTTTTTTTTGGAAAGTTTTAAAATTAGTCATCACCATAATCCCTCTGCTTAGCCACAGAATTCTGCAATCTTTATAATTAAGGAGTGGCTTTGTGAGCTTTTTTTAGAAGCAAAAATTAAATTCCTAACCTGTTAGAAATCAAATTTAAGGGATTTCAAGTAAGTTTTGTGAAATAAGGAGGGCAAGGGTTTATATCTGCTCAGAGTCATTCTCACAGTTGAGATAACATTCTACATGTCATTTCTAAAGGGAGCAATTTTTTCTGTTTATTTTTCTCCAACTAGTATCAATTTGTACTTTGGGATTGAAATTGGGATTTTTTTTTTTTTTTTTTAGGAAATAGATGCCTATTAGTTTACGTAATCCAGACTGAATAAATACACAGTTATTTAACATAAATCCAGTGTTTCCTAACTTCTAACCCAGAGAGTGAGCACAGACATTGTTAGCATCGCATCTGGGATCCCAGCACCCTCAGGATGGATGGAAAACAGGGGCAGCACGCTGGGGATACTGAACAAAATGCAGCTGAGCTGGTGAGTATTGCAAATAGCCTTTAATCTTTCATGTCTAATATTCTTGCTTTCGACCCTTAACATTTAACCCTTCAAGAAAATTAAGTTGCATATCTTTGATGGTTGCTATTATGGAATCTGAGATTTTATTATCACTGATCACAAGTGTTGAGGGAGTTATTTAGTATGGCAAATAGTGCTCTCACATCACTTGGGAATTTTGCATTAGACTTTTTGCTTAAATTTTGATATTTATATCAGAAGACACCAGAAGACAAAATTTGAGTAGATGGTTTGAAATGTGTTTATAGCAAATATTAACAATATTATTTGTATTTCTGAATATTTTGATCCAATGAAAATATTTATTCTCATTGGCCTACTTGTACTTAAAGTGATAATTTATGAAAAATGTCTTATGGCAGAGGAACGTATGCTTAAAATGTGTTACTCTAGTAATGCAAAAATTCTATTTCTTGGAACATATAAAGCGTCTCATTCACAAACAAATCCCTTCATTTTACAAATGAGAAAAGTGAAACATTAGAAGTCTAGCTAGCCAGAGGCAGAACCAGAAATTGAACTCAAATTTCTCACATATAATCTATTCGTTGTAATAGGCTACTTTTCAAATATCTGGACTACTATGTTCCTAACAAAGAAAAATAAATTTTATAATTAGCTTGAGGTTGTAGAACCAAGCCACAAGTGAAACAAAATAAATACAAGGCTAGGATTTGACATCGAATTGCTTTTCAACTGGAAGGCTGTATTTGGGGATTCATTAACGGTACCACGATAGCATTAATGTATAGCATGCCTTATGTGGGAAGGAAGCTGAAAAATGTCACTGCTTTAGTATCTCTTATACATCATTTTGTTTCTATCTCCTTTTCATAATATATTAAATGAGCTATGGTTATTCCATTAAGTCATATAATTAGTTAATTGTGCTAAAATACACGAACAGTAAAATCAACTTCTGAGACTATGAAAGGAAATAGTTAGAATTTCTCATTTTTTTTTTTTAGTAATCTGATGACAATCTCTTAGATCCCCCCAAACAAGGGGCAGGAGACATTTTTTTTTTACAATTATTCTATGATTTTAGAACATTTGGAAAATTACAAAGAAAAAGAGTCACTCATGATCCATCCCAGAGAAAACCACTGCTAATATTTTGCTTTCTGTCTCCTCTCACCCCAATCAAATGTAATTTTATTGTTGGTTGATTTATTTTGCCACATTAAATTTTTGTCTATTTTTTTCCCTGTAAAATTTCCATAAAGCTCTTAATTAAAATTTAGAGAATTGAGAGCTTATGCTACTGAAACCTTCTATAAGAGGACATTTATTTAAGCTGTCTTTTTGTTCCTCAGTAAAGTTCCATGGTTTTCTTTATATAAGCCCTATGGTATTTTATATGCTTAACCATTTCATATGTTTTATTACTATTGCAGTTGCTAATACATACACACACACACACAAACAACAAGTATTGTTACATATATTTTTCATATTTTGATATATGGGATTCTGTTTGTACACAATTATATTATGTGGACATAATGCTAGTTTTATCTTCACACTTTTATTATTGCTCCATGTTGATGAGAACGTCTAATAAAACAAAATAAATGAACAAACAGAACAGGAACAGACTCATAGATTCAGAGAACATTTTGATGTTTGCCAGATGGGGAGGGGGTGGGGAGCTGGGTGAAAAAGGTGAAGGGATTAAGAAGTACAAATTGATAGTTACAGAATAAAAATGTAAAGCATAGCATAGGGAATAGAGTCAATAATATTTTAATAACTATGTGTGGTGTCAGATGGGTGCAAGATTTATCTGGATGATCACTTAGGAAGTTATAGAATGCCTAATCACTGTGGTGTACACCTGAAACTAATATAATATTGTATGTGAACTGTAATTGAAAAATAAGAAATGATTTACAATTTTAAAAATGGGAAAAATATTACCTAATATTGGTGGTAGGAGATATTCTTCACTCCTGACTTTAAAGGAAGGTGCCTGACATTTCTCTGTTATATATGATGTTGGTCATTGATTCGAGGTCAATATTCCTCACCACAGTTGGGAATTATTCTTTTATTTTTATTTCTTTGAGATTTGTATTGTTTGTCTGCTTGTGTCACAACGGACTACTCAAATTTGTTGAATGACCCTTGGACATCTACTGAAATGATCATTTATTTTTCTTCTTTGGTCATTTGATATGAAAAATGTATTTTTATAATTTATATCATTAAATCATTTTTAGGGTTTCAGATTCTCCTAGATTGATGAGTTCTTCATTTGATACATGTTAGAGTCACATAATTTTTAATATATTTTATATGTCTATGTTTCTGGTTCAAATAAACTTTCTTTAACCTCAAAAACCAGGGTTGGTTGTCTGTTTTAAATTCTTTCTCTGCAGTTACCCAGAAATCCATACTGTTCAAATTGCAGAACACACTGTTGTTGTAGATCATCTCCTGTGACCTTCCAGCCGCAATGGGTAAGGTTTGAAAACTGGGGGACATGGGAAGTTTTCAATAGTCCTTTGGCACAAAGGAAAAATGGAAAAATGGGACAGGCAGTCCCGCAGCTCCTGCACCCCCCCCCCCCCCCGCCCCCCAGGGGTCTCTTTTTCTTTACCCTTCATTTGCTGCTGTCTCTTGGGTCTTCAACCCTTCTTCAGAGCTTCCCTCCATAATCTCTGGGCAAAACCTAGAACCTGCAGCCCCCAATCTTTTATCAGAGCTGTAGTCTGTTCCTTCAAGATCCCCTCCATACTAGAGATTTCCCATTTTAATGTCTTTCTAGGCTCAATGAGAGTTCTTTCATTTATGGTTAATAGATAAAAATGTATTTAATAAATAATTCTCTAATTATAAACTCTCAATAGATAATGTAAAGACAGGAAATAATGATGAAAAAAAGAATATTTGTTAATTTTCTTCACCCAAACATAACCAATCTAAATGTTTTGATATGCCTATACATTATTTTTCTACCCATGAGGACTAATTAGATAATTGATATTGCAATGTTAGTAGCAGATAATAACTTAATGTAATATATTCCTGAGGCAATCTACTTGCATTTGAGATGACGCCTTATTGCTTTACTGTGAAAGGGTAACTAAGAGGGAACATTTTGTTCTCGTGGACTAGTGGACAAGGGGTGTGTGTCTGTGGGTGTTTTTGTGCTTATTTGAAAGACAGAGTGGAGGTTGATATGTTGTGCTTTAAATTATATCATTTGGAAAAGGTTAGCCTTATTCTAATTGCAATCACTTACCTAAGCTGCTCCTATGTAATTTGCTGAAATATCCACTTACTGTAATCCTTTGCAGGTTACAGCAAAACCATGGTCACTCTGGAAAACATTTCTGGTGTGTCTGCTGGCCTGTCTAATTGCTACAACCCTCGTTGTTCTGGTCTTATATTTTGTTCACTTTGGCAAGCACACCATGGGTACAACCATCGTCATTCACACAGACGGAAAGTCCAGTCATGTGATCTGCAACCCTGGTTCTACCGCAACTCCTGCCCCCACGCCTGGTTCTACCTCATCTCTTGCCCCCACCACTAGTGCTACTACTTCTCCTGCCCCCACCACTAGTACTACTGCTCCTCCTGCCCCCACCACTAGTACTACTGCCCCTCCTGCCCCCACCACTAGTGCTACTACTTCTCCTGCCCCCACCACTAGTGCTACTACTTCTCCTGTCCCCACCACTAGTGCTACTGCTTCTCCTGCCCCCACCCCTGGTTCTACCCCATCTCCTACCACATCTCCTGCCACATCGACCCTGACTGAATCTCAGAGCACCGCACCACCTGCCACTGTGCCCAATCAAAGCTCTCCTACCACGGTGCCTCCATCTGCCATGCAGCCAGCTGAAACCACCACCCCGGAACACGAAGTTGACATTGAAGATGACGAATGACATTTTTGAGCCCTCAGCCCTCCTCAAGCCAGGCCAACACTCTTACTCTGAAGGAGGCATGTCTAAGCTGTTCTGTCTTCTCTGCCAAGAGATTCCACAGCTTTTGTCTTCATGAAATCTTGCCCCTCTTGCTCAATCATTTGCTGGAATTCCCATATGGTGATGACTCAGTCTTGGGACCGCCAATGTTCAAATGATTGGAAAAGAAAAATTTCACTGAGCCTGGTTGACTCATCCAGCCAGAGTTTTCTCTTCACCCCTTCTGTACAACCCACCTCGTTTATCACCCATGAAGATTCCAGCTGCTGAAGAGGCCGCCAGGTGGACCTGCTCTACTTCACTCCCTACATGCTGGGTCTTAAGCCAGTATTCGCCATCTGTTATTGATTATTTCCCAGTCTATTGTCAGCATTTGTATCCCAGTAGGGAAAGAAAGAAATGTCCAATCAAAGTGGCTAATGAGCATGGCATGGATTATTAAGTACCTACTGATCATTACAGAAGTGTTCCTCCTATGGGGAATGCAGAAAAAAGGGGGTAGGTCAGTAAGGATAGGAATAATCAAGGAAGACTTCAGAGAAAGGCTGAAAGTTGAAAAGGGGTGAACATTTGGACTTAAGTAGAGATAATTTAAACAGAAAATGAGAGGGCTAAGGGGGTTTAAAAGATTTAAAATCAAAAGCACACTTAGAATGTAACAGGTGATGTATTTTCTATATTGGCATCTTTTCACTAATATTGTCAATATTATTTTTCATATTTAATATTCTGCCTAATCTCTAAACCACTATAAACTACTACTTAGAAAATTTGAATGTTTAAATTGTTTTATACTTTGCACTATAACTTTGAGGGCACATGGCTTATAATTTGCTATGAAACACAGACTCTTGTTCAATATTACTTTTACTACAGGCCTGGTGCATGAAATTCGCCCAGCCTACACCCTCTCCAATCGGGGATCCCTTGGGGGACATCTCTCTTACAATCTGGGACCACTGGCTCCTAACTGCTCATCTGCCTGCCTGCCTGATCACACCTAACAGACCCCCTGATGGCCTGATCACCCCCAACTGCCCCCTGTGCTGACCTGGTTGCCCCCAACTGCCCCCACCCCCCGCCAGCCTGATCGCCCCTTACTCCCCCGCCACCCCCCGCCAGCCTGGTTGCCCCTTACTGCCCCCCCCCTGCCAGCCTGGTCACCCCAAGCAGCCTGCTGTTCGGTTGTTTGGTCGCCCCTCACTAACCCTCCTGCCGGCCTGGTTGCCCCACACAGCCCACTGCTCAGTCATTTGGTTGTCCCTCACTAACTCCCCTGCTGGCCTGGTCGCCCCATGCTGCCTGCTGCTCAGTCATTTGGTCGGCCCTCACTAACCCCCCTGCCAACCTGGTTGCCCCACGCAGCCTGTTCAGTCGTCCATTTGGTTGTTTCGGTTGCAACAATCGCTTAGGCTTTTATATATATAGACTAGAGACCTGGTGCAAAAAGTTCATGCACTGGGGGGGGGGGGGGTGTCCCTCAGCCCAGCCTGCACCCTCTCCAATCCCTCTCACAATCCAGGACTGCTGGGTCCCAACCGCTCGCCTGCCTGCCTGCCTCATTGCCCCTAACCGCTTCTGCCTGATCACTCCCTAACCACTCCCCTGCCAGCCTGATTGTCCCCAACTGCCCTCCCCTGCCAGCCTGGTCACCCCCTAACTGCCCTCCCCTGTGGACCTTGTCACCTTTGTCCTCCCCTGCATGCATGGTCGCTCCCAACTGCCCTCCCCTGCCAGCCATCTTGTGGTGGCCACCTTTGACCACATGAGGCGGCCATCTTGTATGAGGGTGTGATGGTCAATTTGTATATCACCTCTTTATTATATAGGATTCTAAGTGCTTGATACTTAGTAAAAGCGTAGAAAGATTTCAATCTGGAAAAGGCTAGAGTGAAGCAGTCTTCCCATTCCACCCCCATCCTCAAAACTCCACAAAAGGAAATAAGAATGTACATTTCCCTCCCTCCCCCCAGTATAATATTAAATCAATTAATTTCTATTGTACTTTTGATTTAAATACTTGTGAAAAAGAAAGATTCAATTTACTAGGTTAAGATTTGCTTCCCTAGATGACTTAAACTTTGCTTTGTGATTTAAAAGTAAGAGCTTTAAATAAAAAGACAAATAAATTTACAGCTCAAAAATGTTGTTAAAGTTTTGTAGAAGCCATTCTACGTAACTAGATATTTAGTTAGAGCTGATGTTTCCTTCCTTTACTTTTAGGTAATATAGAATGCAGTGTGGTAATACAAGAATGATTTTTTTTGTGTGTTTAAGGAGAACCTTCTCTTAACAATGAAATTCCTACATTAAATATTCGGTTGGAGGGTATTGTAATTAAGGGCATGTGAGATCATCAAGGTTCTGTGCTTTGTAAAATAGAGATGTGAATGAGCTCACAGATACTCTTTTGCTTTAAACTTTTATGGTTTAATAAAATATTAAAATAGTAAACAGTGGTGGAAAATATCTTCACAAGTTAAAATATGTAACAACCAAAAATTGTACAAAGTACTGTGAAAATGCTGTGAAGTGTGCATATTCAATTTAAAAGTACCAAGTTTTAATGCTTTATTTAGCAAATATCAAAGCCACACATGTTCTAATATTTATTTTAAAAACTTATTCACTGTACTCACATGACAGAAATAAATCTATTTTAAATCGAGAAGCTTCTCCATTTACAATGTCTCCTACAAGCACTTCTGTGAGTCCATTATTTGCTCTTAAATGCAAAGTAATTCGTGTGGGATCAACATGTTAAGTTTTCCAATACATTTTACCAAATAAGAGTGTAATTCACTTCTTTGAATGCCTTACAAAAAAAAAATTCCATTGGGCAGTTGGTCCCCCAAATCTGTCAATTTATCTATATAGAAAATCTTCTGTTATAAGTAGCTGCCCCATGATGATATTAAAAAATATTTTAGGGAACCCTTTCAGAAGTTATATTATTTAAGCCACTCACTTTGAGTTTTTTTTTTTTTTGTAGTTTCAAAAGGCTTTTGAACTTTGGAAGCATCTCTACTTTGTAACAAATTATTTGTACATTTTAAACTATTTAGTCCTTAACTTCTTTAATAACTCCCTAAGCTTCTTATTAATTACCATTAATGTGATATTTTAGACTCCGATATCAGTGATAGACTTTGATATCAGTGCTACAAACAAGTCCAACATGTTTCTAGATTGTCACTTCTGTAGCTGATTTTTGTCATATCATCATGAGAGCATTTACAGAAATATTTTTAATGATTTCAGAGAGGAAGGGATAAGGAGAGGGAGATAGAGAGAGAGAGAGAGAGAGACATTAATGATGAGAGAGAATCATTGATCGGCTGCTTCCTGCACGCCCCCTACTGGGGATCAAGCCCATAATCCCAGCATGTGCCTTTGACTGGAATTGATCCTGGGACCTTTCTGTCCAAAGGCCAATGCTCTATTCACTAAGCCTAACCAGCTAGGACCATGAGAACATTTTTGAAATTTTGTTAAAGTCTCTCTTTGTCCTACAAAATGGTTCCTACCATCAAACAGTTTCTTCCTCAAATCAAATTCAACATTCATCATTTTTTCCCACCAGTTTCAATTTTGAAAAATTATTTTTTTCTATTTACCCTGACTTCATATGAGACTTCCTCCTTGGTGCTTTCACACTTATCACACCGGATGAGTTTTCAAATGTCCATAATGTGCCTGGCTGGTGTGGGTCAGTGTGAGCATCGACCCATGAACCAGGAGGTCACAGTTTGATTCCTGGTCAGGGTACATGCTGGGGTTGTGGGCTCAACCCCCAGTAGGGGGCATGCAGGAGGCAGCTGATCAGTGATTCTCTCTCATCATTGATGTTTCTATCTCTTTCACCTTCTCTCCTCTCTGAAATCAATAAAAATATATTAAAAAAAATTTTAAATGTCCATAATGTACCTCAAGGCATAGCACAAACAAAACAAAAACATGGTAGATTAACAACAAAAAGGAGAAACTGACGTAATTGTGCAGAGGGAGAACAACACCAAGATGTTCTGTCCCCGGACAAAGGTCACCCATTGGACAGCTCCTCATGAAGGAAAACAGCGCTGGAAGAGCTCAGGAGTCCACTGAAGAAACATCAGCAACTCAGCAGAACAACAAAAGCCAGAATAATTGCAAATACAGAGAAGGAAGACAGTTTCATTTTGCCTGAATCACCCCATCTCCCATGGAGACATTGTTTAGCGCCCAAGGGAATTTTCCAGCTAGAAAAAGTTTCCCGTGCCAGGAAAAGATGAGCAGGGTGAGCAGTCAGCTTCCCCAGCCCTTCGAGCCATTGCAGGAAGATCCGGCTTAGGTCTTGCCCCACCCAGACTGCAAAGCCGAGCATGCAGAGATGGCTATGAACACGAAGAAAAGCACTGGGTACCATGCAGCCAGAGTCATCATGGTTCTCGGCGACCTGTTCTACAGATAGATCCAGTGGTTATTGCCTCTGAAGAAGGAACCAGTGGGCAGCGCAGCTCAGAGGACCACCAACAGATTTCACCAGTTTTTGCGCCCCAACTATTCAAGCCACCCGAGTTCCTCCTCACTCCCTCCCATCCCTGCTCCCACTGGAGCCTGGTAACTACACCAGCAGCCAGCCCGGGCCACTGTGGCTATGGGAGTGCAAGATACCAGCACGGACCTTCACAGCTGATGCCCAGCCTTGTGTGCATGGCAAGAGCCGCTCCAGCTGTGCAGTTACACTCTGCAAGCCTGATGCCAGTCACAGGCCCCCACTGCTGTGTCCATCGCTGGGGGAAGACTGTGTAGCCATGGGAGAGCACAGCGACAGTCAAGGCCCCACAGCTGCTTATAGGCTCAAATCAGGCCCTGTCTTCTGTCACTGGCCTGCACCACTGTGCTTACCTCTAGCTAGCCATTCCAGCTGTGCAATGCATCTCCTCAGCCCAACCCCTGACACTAGCCTTCATTGCAGTGCACCTGTAGGGAAATACAGCAGCCTGAGTAGTGTACACGGCCAATCAGGACCCCTGTAGCTACTCATGTGCCTGCAGTTAGCTGAAGCCTGGCCGCCTTCCCTGGCCCCGACCACTGTGTGTGTCTGCAAAAGGCCTCTGCCACGACATAGGCACCTGAAGCTGGCCCCTGCAGGCAAGTATATACACCACTATCTTTGGCCACAACTGCTGCCTTCTGTGGAACATGGTCCCTGGACCTGGAGATGCTGCTGAAGACCCCAACAGCCCTTGAAGCCATTGCAGACTCCTCGCTGTGCTTGCCAGGAACCACATGGTTGTTAACGTTGTGGACTCTACTAGCCTCAGCCAAAGAGACAGCATGTTCTCCTGACCCCTTACCACCACACACTTGCGCCCTACACCACTAGACTTGGTTCTCAATGTGCTGTAATATGCCCCCTCCCACACATAAGAGTCCTCCCATACTGAAGTCAGTTCATAAAGTCTTAAGAGGTGGCTCCTTCTTCAAATGTTGCAGACACTTATGCAAGGCTACTGAAATCATGGGGAATTAGAGAAACATGAATCTACCAAAAGAATACAGTAAACTTTCAGTAGCTGGCCTGAAAGAAATGGGTTTCCAGGAATTACTCAACAAACAATTCCAACTACTTGTTCTGACGATTCTCAGAGAGCTACAAGTTACACAGATAAATACTTTAACAACATCAGAAAAACAATTTGACAGAAAACATAAAATAAGAACCAAATAGAAATTTTGGAGCTGAAGGATTTAATGATTGAACTAAAGGATTCAAAAGAGAGCTTCAAG